GCCACTTCACCCCAGGCTGAGTGAGAGCCACATTCTGGTTCCCTGGTTTCTGTGAGGAGTGCTGGCTCCACCACACTGCTAAAAATTCATCAGTCTGAATTTAATTACACAGAGCTGGAAACCAGAGGCATTTAGGTTTAATGTCTCCCTGAGTTGGGACCGTTACATATTTTAGAATATTGATCACTACCGTTATAGCTGCTATTTTGGTGGTCACTCTACTGTGTCTGTCCCTGCAGGGTTTTTTTTTAGAAAGAACACTGCAGAGAATAACTGTTGCTAGGTAATTGTAAGAGAAAGTCATGCAAATTATGAAATATTGATAGATTGTATTTACAAGTCAATGGTGCTAGAATGCTCCTACTTGCCCAGTAAATGCAAACTGGAAGACTGCAGTGCCTTCGGAATTCCTAAAACAATCCCACTGACACATTCATCAAAGTAACCCTTAAAGCACCAGTCTATCCAGTAGTGACAATTCTTGAAGTTTGGAATTATCAATTTTATTTTGCCTTCCCACTATTAATTTTGCAATATAATATTGCAATAAATCTACTGTATATTTGAGGAGGTAGTAAAAGCAATTTAGAACATTAACCAGAGGGTCTTTAATTTATAAAGAACATATTAACAGATAAAAGAATGTTGATCTAAAAGAGAAATAGAAATTTATACTTTTCTTATCTCATCTCCAAATAACAAAATGAATCCTTCAATAAATATTAAGTCAGAAAGTTAATAGCCTTGGAAGTCATTTTGCAAACATTAAAATATTCAAAATATGTGCAGAAATAAGTGATAACCAATGAAATGCAGACAGAATTGAACATAAATACATTCCTTATCTATCTAGCAATATCTGACAATATTCAGTGTAACAATTCAAGCCTAGAAAGACATGCATCAAGATGGTGGCCATGAGATCTAGATCCAGTTACTACTCCAGGCTGATTTCAGACTGGCAGATCATGCTGCAAGTCCTCAAAATCTGGGGCAAGCACCACAATGAACGCCTTTCCACCACTGGCCAAGGCATATCTGAGCACTGATGTCATCAACAGCTGTGCCATCACCAGACCAGCGAAGAGGAACAAACAGGATTAAGCCTAGAGGAAGTCACAGAAGTACCAACTTGGGTTTTCTGTCATAAATATTGTAATTTTAAAAACCACAAGATGAAGTTATTAAGGGTGGCTATGCAGGCAATGAGAGGGAAGAATGTGAACTCTGTGCTGTTTTTGGCAAGGGAGCCTCACACTGTCTTTTTTATCTTCCGGGATGCTGGCTTGGAGGCAGCTCACAGGCCGTGTGGACACCTAGCAGCCCCTCAAAGGTCTGCCACAGGAATACTTTGCTTAGCAACCACAGCTCCATCCTGGAGACTCGCAGAGATAGTTCAAAGGCTGTGCCAACTCCAGGTCCAGCAGGTACAGCTTACAACCTTCTGGAGGCTCAAACAGTGGGAAGCAAGGCTGCAGCCCTGTGCATAAAGGCTGAGGGGATGGTCCCTGCTGTGGCTGGAAACCTCGTTTGAGATGCACAGCCTGGAAAAATCAAGCAGATGCTCCTGTGCCCATGCCTGTACACAGAGGAGCCCAGCTCCATCGACCTTCAGCCCAGGTTGGCTTCCTAGGCTTGCACACCCTGTGTCTGCCCATAGCCTTTTCCTGTCCGAGGGTAGATGTTCAGCTCCTCCAGAGCGTGGCTTCCTAGTCTGGAAACCTTCTGGTAACTCAGTGGTGAGCAGACACTCAAAAACAGTCAGGGACAACATCAACACGTTCCTCTGTATGACAGTTTTGTTCATGAGCCATGAGCACCGGGAGCTTTCTAGGGTTAGGGCACAGCTAGGTATGGGGCAAAATTCTTTTTAAAAGGGATCTGCTGTGAGTCCTACCCTTAATCAGTTTGCCTTTTACTAAGCCATATTCCATCTGGTTTGAGGCAAAGAAAAGGCAGCTCCTGTGAAGCACACCTCGGGGAAGCCTTCTTCCAACCCCCTGTTCTCCCGAAAACTGGATCTGGAGTTTGTTCTGACTCTGGCTCCCTGGTCTGCTGGCCCTCAGACCCGTGCAGAGGGGCAGAGCATGAGGACAGCACTAACCAAGAAGCAGAGGCCGGACCGTGCGGACTTAGGGAAGAAATCTGTGTCTGGCATTTCTATCTCTCTACCAAAAGCATCTCCAGAAAGCCTGGTTTATTTCTGACACCACTCCACCCCTCCAAGGCCCTGGCTTCAGGCTCCCTACATTCAGAGCAAGTCTTCCTGGTGCTCCAGGAAGCACAGTTCCTGGGGCCCTCAGTTACCCCATTTCCTGTGTACACCCTCACCTTGACACCCAGGGGCTGGATTCCATGGTGTCTCTACTCATAAGTAGCTGAGAGATGGGGGCAGCTGCTCAGTCACCTGGCTGCTATTGACCCAAATGGTGGTTTCTAATCATTAAGTTATACCAACTTTGAGTTTCAGAGAGTCTGATATTTTGTGTCTGGGCTTCAGATAATTCTTTAGAAATTCTCATCAAATTTGAGGACTTCTTTTCTTTTATAGTTGAGTCTTAAGGGACTACGCTAAAGAAAGAAAAACTTCACTGAAACAAAATCTGGTGGGACAGGGAAGAAACAGCTGCATAAACATCAAGCAGAGTTCTGTGGCCTGGTTTACGGCTTTGGACAAAACAGCACCTTACCATTTGCCTACCCATTCTCCTTGGTTCACCAGGGAAATGCCATTCGTGTTCCATTACCTCCTCGAAGCTCAGACACAAAGCAGTGTGCTCCCTCGCATGGATGCAGTGGGGTGGGGGAGGGGGTTTCCTCCTTCACTCAGTGGGCAGAGGCCATGGCTTCTCACCCAGCAGGATCTCGAAACCTCACAGAGCTTTGTTGAAACACTGCGAGAGCCCCTCACCCAGAACCAACAGAACAGATAGCTTTGGGGCACTCCCTTCCCTATACTGGGGGTGGAGAACAGGGACCTCTTGCTGGCTCAAGGCCTCACCAGAAGGGAGGACACACTCTGAGTGGCACCCCAGACTCAAGCCCCGTCTGCTCATGCTCAGGCCAGCTGTCTTAAGGGAGAGAAAAGTCGTTCCCCCTCAATCTCTTCATTTGCAGTGGACAAAGAGCAGATGGAGGATGCAGAGTACCCTGGTGACTCTTCAATTGGGCTGGTCTAAGGCAGAGCAGCTTCTACTTCTTTTACCTTGAAATAACAGGAACTTGAAGAGTGGGAATGCGTGGTGTAGCTGCTGGACATGCACATTTCCTTTTCTGAACTCACACATTCTCCCCAAAATGGCTCCGAGATTCCTTGGGGAGCCAACAAGTAATCTGGAGTTAAAAGCAAACTTGGCCAAGCCTTGCTGTGCATTTGGCCAAGCCTCTGGCTCAATCCTGGCTGTTTTCTGCAAGGGAAATGCACAGGCTGGACTGACCCACGCCAGGCCCTCAGTTCCCAGGGAGCTCTCAGCCATCTCAGGAAGACAAAGGAGCGTGGGCCACAGTGAGGGCCAGACACACTCGGCGCTCAGTGCATTCAAAGCACCGAGACGAGACCATCCCCTAAAACAAGACAGGTGTCCTAGTCCATCCTCGAGGAGACTGTGTACAAATGCAGCATGGGAAACATTCAAGCATCATTCATAAAGTCAAGTGGAAAATAAAGAATAAAACCAGCCTTTAAATAACACTCCTTAAAATGCCACCAAAAAATAGGATGTAGCTGTTTATGACACTAAAAACAAATCTTCACAGGTCTGTGACCCCAGAAGTTTCTTAAAAAGCAAAAACAACTTGGATATAGCAAATATCACCAAAATATCAGGGTGATGAGAGGAGCAGCCAGAATATTCCCACTTAATGCCATAGTCTGTCAAAAGGGATTTCCCAGGCCAAGCAATGAGGCAGATTCTGAAGGCACAGGGTGTCCGAGGCCGTCAGTCCCCTTCCACCCCACAGTCCTTCCATGATTTTGTCATTTTGGGAAGATTGGCTGGGGAGCAAAATGGAAACATGAACAGAAAACCAAAGACTAGCGGCAGGCGAGGTCACGGAGGGCAGGCGACACACAGTGTGGTGGACAAGAGAAGCAGTACTGCTGGACACTGCAGGAGTTTCCCCCCTAACTGCATGAGAAACAGTGAGCGTGGCTGCATACTACTTCATTCTTCCACAGCAGGTGACAGCCACAGGTTTAGAGAAGTTTGGAATCAATACTCCAAGAAGTTAGACAATCTACAATACATCAGAGGTGAGAAATAACAGACCAGAGAAGAACATTCTGGAATTTTATGAGATGACATCTCCCATACCAAATGTTTAGAAATGACAAGGATCTCTCTAGTTCATGTCTGTTTTCACAGGAACTAGTGGTCCCATGCCATCCAAAATTCCAACTTGTATCAGTCTTTCACCCGTGGAGTGCATTCTGCATATTTAGCATTTTGTTAGGCACTGTTACAGTCTCAAGTAAATGTGCGTTCTACTTCACTGACACAGAAAATCTGTATACTTATACTATCAAATGTAATACTCTCCTATCACATTGCTGTTTTGTTTTAGACAATCTAAAGTGTGACACTACTTCAAAGGCAGAGGTTGCTTTTCAGAAGCAATTAGCCAAGGGCTGAGGTCTAAGTGTCACAGAAACAAGTGTCCAGGAAGGATTTTGAATAGCTAGTGAGGATCCTAGGACCTCTGCCACTTCAAAAGGGATGGAAAGGATGTGAAGGCCCTGGCTCCCACTTCCTGCTGTGCCAGAATCCAGTGAGTAAACCAAGTCCAGCCTCAGAGTTTAATCGGGAAGCTAGCTCTCTTGGGAACTCAGCTCCCCTGATGGTGCTGGCCAGGGCCTGGGCCACTGGGTGAGAGCTCTACTCACGCTTCCTCTGGGAGTCCTCAAGGTCATCTGCCTCGGATACCCACACAACAGACCCCGAAACCCTTGGTTGGCTGCCGTGGCCTCTAAAGCAGCAGCTAGAGTCCCATGCTAAACTTACCATTTTCTGGCTGGTCCTTAATGTCAGCATCACTTGGCTGGCTGGGACTTTCAGATTGACTTGAATCTGAAAAACATAAAAGTATGGCCAAAAATTATAGGGTCTGTGAGGGAAAGTAGGTCAGTCAGAGGTGCTAGCTTGAGCAAAAGGCTCGGCCTACAAACTGAAGGGGAGATTAGAGAGCACAACAAATGACAAACGGGCTGTGCCTAGAACTTGGGCTTTGCTCGCACCTCCAGTGACTTCTGCTTCCGGCCAGACCAGAATTTGAAGTTCTGTGGAACCCACGTGCTCCTAGAGAGACCATTTCCACACTGTTTGTCTCCGTTATTTACACACTGGAGCCTGACAAAGACTTCATCCTTCATTACGCTCATCTGAAGCTTGATTCAGACGTGAAATCAAGTGTCACAATACATTCTGAAGCTGGTATATAAAATCAACCCAAATAGCAGGCAGCAGCTCTGCTGGCAGGCAGCTCTGTACTGCAGGGACAGCTGCTGCAGGCTGATGCCACGCAGGCCCAATCTCCAGACTCCAACGCAGGCGCTTGTGGAGCTGCGTGACACAGATGCGAGGGCACTGTCCTGCCTACCCACTCAGACAGCCAGAGATGGTGTTATACAATCAGAGTCACTTCTTGAGTTAACAACATAAGCAGACCTTTGAACTAAAGAAAAGTAACTCAGGGCTGGGGATTTAGCTCAGCGGCTAAGTGCCTGCCTGGCAAGTGCAAAGGTTGTGATTTCAATTCCCAGTACCACCAAAAGAGAAGTAATTCAACTAAAGCAATTTCTAAGTAGGGCGATTTAAGGCAACACTTGGTTTTAAAGTTAGATAAAATAAAGTTAAAAGAATTTTACAGAATTAGAAGCAAATGTAGTTGTGATGCATTTTGGGGAGAAGAGAAAAGCAAGCAAAATGTTTCAAAGGAAAAAATTGTATTTTCTGAGTTATAACAGTTTAAAGTATTATTTAAAAGCAAACAAATAAACTGGGCATGCTGGTGCATGCCTGTAATCCCAGTGCTTGGGAGGCTGAGCAGGAGGATCACTGGGAGTTTGAGGCCAACCTGGACTGCACCGTGAGCTCAAGGCTAGCTTGGACTGCATTAGGAGACCTTGTCTCAAAAAGACCAAAAAAAAAAAAAAAAAAAAAAAAAAAAAAAAAAAAAAAAATCCAAATGAACAAACAAACAAACAAACCTAAATTATTTACAACAAAACCAAAAGCACCTCTATATCTGTGGAACTACTGGGTCCTGCTGGGTTAAAATTAGCTGATTGAGATCTGCCTGTGCTTCAGCAAGAAGCCCAAGACACAAAAGATATAAAAAGGTAAATTTGTACTTAACTCTGGCAAAGTGACAGCTTTTATCAGTTTGTGACAATCACCATGGCAAAGACAAAATTCACAACAAATCCTTCAGAATAAACTGCAAAATTAAATACAAAGTCTGCACTAAAAACTGGACATAAGAAGAAACTTACATTGGGCTTATGTTTGAAATTTTAGCTATTATACATTACTATTACTTTCTGAACAATTTTAGAAGTAGCCTAGTTCCTTTCTCTGTTTCTAAGGAAAGACCCTATAACTTTGTCTTTAGAAATTACAAATTAAATATTTTCAGAAATAATCCAGTATGTTTCAAAGGACACAGACTTCTATTATTTTTATTCTGGACAATTTTAAGCCACTAATATGTATACATAAAATTAAAGCAAAATTTCTAATTTTTGTATTAGGAGAAATTAAAATTTTTCTTCACTGTATTCCTAAACAAATACATAAAATTTTGCCAAACCCATTTCCTTTATAATTCTAGCAAACAGAATTCTCTATGTGATAGCTTAGGCACATCTTTTACTCCTAGGTGAAATACCTAATCATATGAACAAACAGACGACATTTTTTCTCTCAGTTAACTTAGATGTAAAAGAATTAATGATTTTTCTGATACTTATTCATTCATATTTTGGCAAAAGGGCCGAAGGGAGACCCTAGATCACTTTTGGTCATAATCTGAAAGTGGGCTTCTTTGCTCTTCTTCTTCTCACCTGTACGGGGCTACCCCACCTTTGCAGACTCAGTGCCAGGAAACACAGCCAGCGATACAGCGTGAGTACCAGGTACATACTCAGATAGCACACAATTCCCAGCCACAGGGAAACAAGTCAGCCAAGAGCAGTGGACACTGCACAGGGAAACGGCAGGGCTGGCCTGCAGGGCCTGCTCCGAGAGCTCCACCACAGACCGCCTGTAGTGCCCCGCCTCAGTAATGGTCTCATGGGACATATACATACACTGCTAAGGCAATGCCAAAGCCCTCTATGACAAAGTAAGGGTCTAAAATCTTCAGCAACACTTGCTCTGCCGTAGGACACCGAATCTGCTGCTCTTTCTGAACCAAAAAAGAGAAGAGCCTGCCTGGCCTTCCTGGCGCTGCTCCACACTGGCAGGCCAGGGGCGAGAATGGAGCCAGCCAGATGACCAGAACTACAAAGGCTATCCACACATAATTATACAAGTGAAAGACCTGGCTACTTAGCACTTGCATTAAAATATTATCAAGAAGGTTAACAATTAATTACTTTTCTGTTTTATATATGTGGTAGACACCTGTCTGAAGCCAAGGTAATTTCTGTCTTCTGATTTTGGACAATTACGATGTGGCTGGTTGATGCCTACTGACTGAAAAACCCAACTGCCTAAAGCGGTGTCTCTCTTGTTTCTGAGCCTCTGTGATAGCGACTTTCTTTGGCTCTCTGCTTGATTTGTATTTTAAAATGAAGAGAATGTGTTTAAATGACAGAGTTGGAGATGCCATTGAGAGAAGGCTCATCAGAGGCACCACCAATTTTCCCCTCCAAGGGATTCGCCTTTTGTTTAAGGACTTTTAGATTTCAGTCTAACCTTGAAATGCAATGTTTCTTTTGGTTTTCAAAAAATGTAGGAGGAGAAATTTAATCCTAAAACAGACAGGGTTTGCATCAAGGCAACTGTGTTAAGACCTCTCAACTGCACTGGTAACCACCCACCCACGCATCTTTATGGAGTCCACAGCTGCACTGCTAGGGTTCTCAGATGTGGGGAGTCCGCTACCAACACCACCACAAGGAAAAGGAATACAGTAAATCCCAGCATCTATATATCAGCCTGTGCCCCCATAAACCTTGTGATATGCGAACAGAAACTCTCCCCCGGGGCCAATCACCAGCACTGTGCTTTGTCTGTCTGGGCCCCCCTCCAACTGCTCCCTGCAGCCAGGAACCACACTTTTGGGTGAGGCAATGAGCAACAGAAACATGCTAACATGGCAAAGACTGATCAGGCAAAGATCTAGGCACTGCTCCCTGGCACTGTATTCCTCTCAGCGATAGGCAAGAATGGTATTTGGCTCCATCTTCCCTGTGTCTTCTCCAACCTTCTCTTGAACCACAGTGAAGGCTGCTCATGCATACTCGGGCCCCCAAGAAAGCATTCTTCTTCCTCTTCTTACATCCCCAGGTTCTATGACAGGGTGGCCAGCAGCCACGAAGTCCATCTGACAGGACTGCAGAGAGGATTCTTCAATGGGCTCAGCTTCTTGACCCCCACGCCCAATACCACTGCACCAGAACCCAGGGCACACCCTCAACATGAGCAGCAGGATTTAGGAATATGCCGCCATAGGGCTTTATCTTTGTGAGTTCCCCCTCGTGGAGACTGGCAAAGAAAAGCAATGGGCATTCCTCTGGCCCAGCTGGGCCAGGCTGTAGTGGTCAGGAGCTGCAGGAGTTGGCTCTGAGGACCTGGCTGGGCAGGAGGGAGTGTCTGGCACACAGAAGGCCTCTGGAATGTGTGCAGGATGGAGTGACGAATGGTAGGGGTGCTCTGCACACTCCAGATCCATGGGTTAGTGAAATCCACCCGCTCCAAAGCTGCCCAGAACCCTAAATGCCCTGTGCACCACTTGAGGAAGCTGTGGCAGACAGGGCAAGGGGAGACACACCAATGCCACTCTGCTCGGACCACAAACACCAACAGAGAGCTCGGCTCCTGAAAGCACAAACACTAGATCAGTGAAATAACTGAACCCAGTGTCAGCCTCCCTATGTGCATAGTGACCTGGCTAAAGCTGAAGGCTGGAAAAGCCTTCTAAGCCAAGCAGTTGCCAGACACCAAGACAAACAAGTGAAAATTCTGCCTGGAAGAGACAAGTTATTTATAGCGTAAAAAAAAGAAAGGTACCAACAGGAGTGAGTATGTTCTGCGAAGCATCAGGAAAATTCCTGGGGTAAATAAAACAAGAAATAGAGCAATGACATCCTGACTGTAATAAAGTTACCCCTGCAATTGTAACCCTTAAAGACATTCAACACTTAGATATGGGAAGTTACATTTTGGGAAGATGAGTACTTTGCAATAAAGTTAGGCCAGAGAGTTCATTTTTCTATACCTATAAAACAAAGCAATAATAGAAAACATAATTCTATTTCTGATTGCCAGAATAAGTGCTAGAGTTACCCTATTTTGAATGTTTGTTACAGTAAGGAAATCTAGAAAATCAAATGGGTATGATAGTCACGTTTTGCTTATTACTCTCAGCCTCTTATTACTATATTATAATATTTAGTAATATCATCTATTTTTTCCTACATGATCTTAGCACTGAAGCAAGAAGAAACATCTGAAAATGTAAATGTCAGTGTACGGTGTCCATATGCATGGATGACTCGTAGTTGAAGTGTAAACATTAACGAATACAACATCACTAGCTAAATATAACATTATCCATCACAGTCTGGCAAACAACAGAAATCTGTAACACCATCACTAAGTTTGGACGGCTGAAAATGTGCGATTATTATTAACATCTCCAGAGAATGTATAAGAACCTTTTTGTGCAGTGATTGGCCAAACCAATATTTCAGATCAATTAATGTGCATAAGCGGCTCATCTAATGAAACATTATTAGACAACAGCCTAGTTCTTAAACAGATACATTTGGAGGTGAGTCATACTATGTAAGCTTTTCAAAGCTTTAAAAATGGAAACACTCCATGGTTCTTCAAACAGAAAC